GCTGTGGCCTCTGTGGCAAGGGTGATTTTGCAGGTGTTGAGGGGCGTGTTTCTGTCAGAGGGGAAAATATGCAAATCTTCCTTTCTTTGCATGGCAGAATTTTAACAAAAGCTGCCCCTGACGGCCCCATTCAGGCATGTGATGAATTCTGACCCTTCCTGCTGCTGTTGTCTTTGTACCAGGGCTCCCTGGAGGGGCTCTAAGAGCTCTCCCTCTGCCCTTATCACACAAGATGCTAACCTATCCTCCAAGAGCTATTGGAAGTGGTCACAATGTGCCAACTTGCAACTCTCGTGAACAAACCTAGCTGCTTGTGTTCACCATAGATAAAGGAAGGAGGAAGTCTCCAGTAGATCTGCTGCAATATTACGATGGAATGTTTGGAAATTGTTTATTCATTTATCTATCCTGCACGAAAAGACTGTCCCTCTGCTCTTGCACCAAGATGAAACGCAGTCTCCACTATGTCTCACTTTCGTTAATTGCCAATAGTTCTGTTTCTTCCAGAGGTATCTACATAAATCATTGCCAGATTAGGGCCACAATTTGGAACTTTTCTGGTGAAAAGGAACTACGATAATGGATCTGGACACCACAATCTTTACTATTTATTTGTTTGTTTGTTTGTTTGTTTGTAGATTGGGTGACATCATTTATATACGATCTGAACCGTTTGAATCTTCTCTAATAATTGTAGAATCATTTAGCCTGGAAAAGATCCTTAAGATCATTGTGTCCAATTATCCACCTAGCTACCAAGTTCAGCACTAAACAGAAAGTAAATTTATATGTCCATTTAGATACAGACTGATTTGCATGCAATTGCCACGGATGTGTTGGGATGCTCTGGGTTAAGACCAAGTTAGAAACTTGACAAAATATATAGCAGATTGTTTGGACTATAGCAAAAGGTGTGAGCTGTTGGGAGCTTTGCCCATGTTTCATCTGCAGCAGGCTGAGGTTCTCCATCCTCTAAACTGTACTACAACTCATCCTGTCCCAAGAAATGAACAACATTTTGATTTCCTGAAAAAAAAATCCAGTAACGATCAATCCGTTTCAGCTGAAGAATTGTGTAATTTCCCCAAAATCTTGGAAGCAGAGACTTATCTACACAACGCCCTGGCATGTCCATAATTTGAAAGGCCCTTGCCTGCTCAGGCAAAGCTGATAATTTCAGAGCAGCTCTGTTGCTTAGAGTTTCTCCATTTTGAAGCATCCAATCTGAGGTACAGTAAGCCTTATCCTGTGAGCACACAGTGATCATGGCTCAAGCTGAAGTTTCAGCGAGCAGAAAACAGCCATCAGTTTCAAAAACTCAGGTGTGAACAGCTCAAACAGATGTTTCTATAATATCATTTTGGAAATCTGGAACTCACTGCACAGAAGAATAGAACGGTCACCACACAGGACACAAAGTTATTCTCACACAGTCCAACCAGAATCTCACAGTGATGCAAATTTATTTTCTAAGTCTGGGTGCTCATCCAAGTTGGGTCAGCATCAGTTTGCACAATCTGGGGATCTACTACTTGACCAGTAGGCATTGCCTCTTTCCACTCTGACACATTTTTTTCCTGGGAGGACAAGGGGATTTACTACCTCAGGGTTTCTGAGGACTGGAGCTGGCTGAGCATTCCTCACAGCCCAGAGTTGTATGAGAATTTAGCAAGCCTCTCTTCTCAGGCAGCAGATTCCTCATCTCAAGAAATCTTTTGATTAAACTGTCAAGCTCTGGGACGTGCAGCTGAAGGGAACAACAGATTTTGAAGAAACATTTAAAGAAATATTTTTGATAATTCCCAGCACAGACAGAACGATGACATACTGTGGGTCTAGCAAACTTGCCTGGCAGGCAGTTGTGGCTTTGTATGTAAATATAAACATATATTTACATATTTCCTAACATCTGTTTTGAATTTGTGTTCCCTTTAGTTCTATTTAAAGTACGTCTTGTCCCATTATCTCTGAGGCTGAAATTTGGAGGGCTTTGCTAATAAACTCTAACTCTGCAAAGCAACAAGACACACTCTCCTCCTCCCTGTCTTTCCAGCCAGTTCTTTTACAGCTGTTCCTCACTTGTATTCCAAAGTGCAACAGCATCACCCAGCCTGTGGAAGGAGCACGGTTTCCTAAGTAGATTCAAATCTGGGTGTGTATTGTGAGAAATGGTCAGTGGTCAGTGTCAAAAGACCCCAAGTGTGATCCTACAGTGGGGCTGTTTTGAGCAACAAAGATGTGGAGTGGTGGCCCAAACTGCCAGTGCACCAATGGCCAACAACTGCAGCTGGTGTTCTTACTTTGATGGCAATCGTCTATTTAAACCTGCTGTGGCCTTGTGCCACATCTCAGTAGCTTTTACAAAATGCTTTTCCAAGGAATAATTAAGCACTAGGACAAATACAGACCTTAAAAGCACAAAGTTCTGTGTCACCAGATGATGTACAAATCAAAGGCTTTTCTGTGCCGATGAAATTCCAGGAAATGCAGGGTGGGGGAGAAGAGCTACGGAGAGATAGCCAGAAACAAGATGCTCAGATCAGCCATCCAAAAAAGTTGCTTCTTCCGCCAAATTGCTGAGTTTTTTTATGAGAAAGATGTCTTGGTTTGGCAGGGAGGAAGAGACTGCTCCACTAGACAATAAATAAAAAAAAAAGCCCTAGTTGAATGTTAAATACCATTATTCCAGGGGAAACATGACTTGTTCTCTGCTGTGGCAAAACTTGCAGCTGAAACCCTGAAACCAGCAACCCTGGAACAGGAGCCAGAGAGCTTAGGCTGATGCTAGCAAACCCCTAAGTTTCTATTGGCTCAGTAAATGCATTTCTGCTGCTTTGTCTCCAGAAGCATCTCATTAAAATGAGATGCGAATCATGAAGATAAATGCCTGAGTAAATGGATAAGCCTCTCATATACATCATATTTACATGAGTATAGACTCTCATAGACTTCTCCCTTCATTGGATGAGTTACGGCTTACCCTGTATAACTGAGGCTCTGGTGGTACAGAGTTTATTATTACACACACTTAAGGCATCATTAACAAACTTACATATTTGTCCACAATAACTGAATGTGCCACCTCTGCCTCAGTGCAGTCCTTGAAGCCTCCGAATGAAAGCCAGACAGAGCTGTGAGAAGTCACAGCTGCAATTAACACGGAGGCTTCTCTGGCTGGGAAAGGTGCTCCACCACCCCACTCTGAGTATCGCTCATCCTGCCAGCGCTATGGGTGGTTGTGGGCACGGCATCAAAGGCTGTGACACTGCTGGAGGAGAGCTCCCTCCTGGGGTGTTGGCACCGATCCTTCCCACTGCAGCAGTGGGTTGGGGCTGGTGAGCTCTGAGGAGCAGTGCCACGCTGCCCTGCGAGTGTTGAGAGCCTCGCTCCCAAGGCTCCTGCATCGCTTCCTTGCTCAACCCAGAAAACTTCAGCAATTCCTGAGAAGCCCCGAATCCCCATGAAGTGAGTAGGCTATAAAGAAGACCAAGTTTGGCTACAGACTCACCGTATAACTTCAGCAAAGGCATATCACTCTGCACTTATTTCCTTTAATAAATGGGAAAATGAGACCTCCCCACCACACCCCAGCACGGTTAGCTCGCAGAGCTGCACAAGCATGTGTGTAATTACTCCTCAGTGCTCGCCACAGAGGCGCACCATGCCCAGCCGTTCCGAACTTTCTTTCCGAATGTCATTATTTTTAAAAGAAAACAAATGGCTTGTCTTCAATTTCTTTTTTTTTTTCCCCTACCATGTTTAAAAAAAAAAAAAAAAAAAGAAGTTTCATAATTGCTATTGCAGAAGAGACTTGCATTACACTTTCCACCATCCAGCACCCACACAGCGAGACCTTATTCACCTCAGGTACAAGAACATGTGCTGACTTGAATATGCACCTCTCACTTTCTGATTTAATTAGCATACGGCAGCTTACCATTCCCTTTGCAATATATTAAGGGCTATTTGCTTTTCTGCATCGTTGGGTTTTTCCCCTTTATTCCCACTGGTTATTAAGTGGTGATGATAAATAAATCTTGCACCTACAGTCATGACTTTTTGCTTTAAAAAGCTCAAGAGAGAATGAATTAGAAAAATGCAAGTCTCTTCTGCATGAGATCCAAACCGTGGTTCCAAATCCGGACTTCCCATAATTTGAAAAGCAGAAGAACACACACCACAGGTATCTTGGCTGGCTACATCACGGTGCAGTTTAATGATGTCTTGCTCAGAGCCAGCTTCAAGACAGTGCCAACCATTTCCTTTATTTTAGTAAGTCACCAGCACACACATAGCATACCTAACACCCAGTTTCCCTTATGACAACCACCTGCTTTCCAAGAAAAACAATCTGAAGCCTTTTTGTTATCGAGGAGTCTCCAAAAACTGAAAGCAGATTCAGTTTCTGCTTCTCACCAGCTGACTGCTCTTCCTGTTCAAAGCCATCTTACACTCATCAGCAGCAGCTGCCCACAAGTCTTCAGCCAGAACAACTATTAAATTACACCAACAATGACTAGAAATGCTAACAAACCATCCTCTCCACCAGAGAGGGGAAGGGACTGTGACTAGGTGTCTTTAGGCTATAAATGAGCCATGCTGTGACTCAAGAGCCAACCTGCTCTGCCTTACCTGCATCACACCTGGCCCACAGACCTTCTTGCCTCCAGCAGAGAAAGCCCACTCATCTGCCCTTCTCTACCTTACACTTCTCTAGCCAAAAGCTCTGGGTGTTTTGTGGTGCAAAAACGTTCACAGCAGGAGCCTCTGTGGCCACCCACATTGCACTCAAATGTGCAAATGAGTCAAGAAACTCTACATAAACAACTTGGTACAATGTGCTGTGATGCTGCTGTATTTCTGCATGGTAATCAAAGAATCATAGAATAACCCAAACTGGAAGGGACCCATAAGGATCACCAAGTCCAACTCCTGGGATAAGTTCATCAAGGTCTTGGCTTGTGCTGATGTTCAGTGAAAAAGAAAAGAGAGGGAAACTCTTCACAGTTACATTAATTCCATTTTATTTAATAAAAAAACAGTATCAGATTAAAAATACACTTTGGGTGATTATCCAGCGTTTTCCCCTGTGTGTCTCCTAGAGCTCAAACCAACTGAGGATAGGGAGAAAAAAACAATAAAACAAAACAAAAAACACCAAACGATTTTGGCCGGAGCTGTAAAATAATGTTGCACCAATTAAATTACACCAAATATATTATTATACCTTTGAAATGGCTTTCAGACCAATAAATAAAAAAAAAAAAAAGAGAGACAAATTCAAATAAAAAAAGTCAACTTTGTATTACAAAAAAATTAAATAAAAATCACAACACTAATAATAACAATGTGCAGTCAAGTGTTTTGGTTTTTTTTTCTTCTCTAGGAATGATAACATGCCAGTAAACATGTAACATGCCAGTAACATGCCAGTAAATCCCTATGTAACATTTCCAGTTTGGCAGCAAGCAGTCACTCACTCATTCACATTTGTACACAAGGAAGCAGGCCTGGGCAAAAGCCTAGGTAGATTTGAGCCTTCAGGGCACTCCTCATTCCCTGCTGCAGCTGGTCGAGTGCCCTTCCCTTCATCCTAAAACCCCTGTAAATCCACTCAGGATTCAGCAGGAAACCCATAGGGAAGGCATCACTCAGCACAACCCCACCGGAGTGCTGCTCCATCACATCAACACGACAGCGCTGAGGTGTGCCGGCTGAGGAGCCGACTCTTCTGCTCCAGGGCCACTGTGCTGCCTGTTAATCAAATACACTGCAAAACAGGGTGTTGGCTTTGGGTGGGCTATAAGGAGCAAATGCAGGGCCTGTGAGAAGACGGTATCTCTAAGCATCACACCAAAAGCATCCTACATCTACAGAGAAATGCCCTGGAATTCCCGTTCCTGAGCAAATGAGCAGTGAGCCACATTTCACTTGACCGCCTGAGAGCACATCTCTCTTAGACTTCGTGGGTGTTGATGGCATTGACTCCAGGGCCAAATTTGGTCCAGTGTTTTACAATAAAGAAAAGGTTCTCCACAGAAACAGATTAACTGACTTAGGAAATTTGAGCTCGTTCATCTTTATGCTGGTTGGTTTTTAGGAGGAACCAGCAGACTGAAGTACCGTGACACACCGAATAAACAATTTGCAAGTGAAACTGCTCCCTGCCCCAGATGCCAATGTTTGTGGGGTTATCCCTGATACTCAAAGATTAATCAGAGGATCTCTATTCCATTTCTGCATAGTCTCTAGGATTTTGAACACAGTGGGCCGAAGTCTGCTTTCAGTTCCAGTTCCAGGGGAGAAGTGAGAACAGAGTTTGCCCCATGCTTCTCTCTTCCGAGTATGCCTGTATACATGGATTTTACAGCTGTGGCTCTTTGATATCGTAGGCTGAAACCTGCCATGTATTCACACCAGTGCACCTCCAAGAAAGCTAGGGGCTATGTGCTCATGTAAATGAGAGTGAAATGGGCCTTATGATTCCAGTTTGCCCAGGCCTGTCAAACACACAGTGCCTTTCTGACATAGGCTTACATTCAGATAATCCAGTAGACCCATGTGGTACCTTTATGGGAGTTGAAGCCTTTAGTCTGGATATTTAGGTATATGTGAGAATACACACACATACTCTTTTCGTTTATTCAAGCTGGCATCACTGCATATGCAGTACCAGCTATGCTATCAATATAGAGGCCTGCATTTTTATGCTAACTCTGTTATCAAATCTACAGTTATCACTTCATTGCTCAATTCTTTCTGCTCCATTCCTACCTACTTAGAAATATTTTCACTTGGAGAAAGGCATATTCCCACCAACTTTCTGGCCTCTATCCGTTTCCTACATGCTACAACCTTTTCCCTAACATTCTGGTCTCAAACTACCTGTCACCCTCAGGTACTACAAGCTAATAGCAAGGTGGAACCATTTGCTGACAGTGACTGAACTCAAGGCTAGAGGATCTGTTAGCCCTTAGGACCAATCTCTGGGCATCCATCTGGCTGACCTCTTTCGAAAAGTCACAAGTAGAACAACGCTTTGAAGAGTCACTGCTTACAACACCAATTACTTCCAGCTCCCTTTCTCATTTCTCTGACTCTGTTTTTGCTGGTAGGAGTGGTATTGGAAACAATTTTAGGGCCTCCTGCTCTCTGAAGAGCAACAGCTGTAGAAAGGGCCAGATCTGGATGCCTACTCCAATCCCTGTATACATACAGCTGTGTGAAGTTATACACTCACAAATTATCTGTTACAGAAAGGGTTCAGGAATCTCTCAGTTCACCCTGATGGAAGGAAACAGGGTGACCATCCAGCCTGGCCTCCTGCATAATGCAAGATGAAAACTCTTGAATGAAAACATTAGATGCCTGTATCCTGATGAATAACTTCAAGGGATAATAAAGGTTCTCTTTCTGAAAGGCATCCAAAATTGACTTGAAGAATTCAGCTTATCTCTTGATATAGCTAATCTAATATGAATCAGAAACCTCTCAAAATGTGTGTGTCTTGTTTCCAGTTTTAATTCTGCCTAGCTTTCACTCCAAGCCATTAAATCTCAATGCTTTTGTCTGCTAGATCCTAACACACTTTCATCACGTATATAAAGACCAAAGGTTTTGCTCTGGTCAGATAGGTAATATTCTGAAGACACAAAATTAGAGAAGCGTGAGATGACTTTGTGACTTTGGGGCTATTCAAGACGTTGCTAGGAGTTCAGTCAGATCCTTTGAAGGAAAACCTACCATTCTCAGCAAATAGTAACTTGGCTAACTCCACCATAAAGGTACCCAGAACAACTCCTTTCCCTCCCTTTCCATCCTCCTGCTGCTAGTTGAGCTTGTTGCAGATCTCTAGGGCTTTCTTGTAGACCTGAGTCACATCATCCATGTCTGTGAGAAGGGAAAAACTGCTGTCCCCCAGACGGTTGCGATACCGTTTTAGGTACTGTGGCCGTGGGTGGTTCTGAAGTCCTTCGAAGTCTTGGATCTGTAGGAAATTTTCAGCAGAGACACAGCTCCGTATCCTCTGTCTGTTTGGCCTGTTCTCTTGCAAATCCAGAAAATCAAAGGAGTCACTGGACAAAATACTGTCATCACTAATCACGCTGGAAGGGCGACTGTAACTTCGAGGTAATGCATCTCCAGGCAGGACTACTTCTTCCATGGCCTCCAGAGTTGGTGTATCAGGGCTAATTAGAGCAGATTCAGTGCTGCTGGTAGAATACTTGCCATTATGTTTCAAGATACCCTTACGCCTGCAGGAATGGCTGTAAGACCCATTTCTGGATGGTTCTGTGACCCCTGGAGAGGTGTCACTGTTTACTGTTTCATCATTATTGTCCAAGAGCTCCGAAGATTCACTTCGTTCTGGAGAGGAGTAATAGCCGGACTCCCTCTGCTGAGTCTTCTTTAAGATTCCTTTTTTTGGCATTAGTGAAGACTGCTTAGTGCCGTATTTGCCAGCTACCTCTCCCTCCACAACAGTTTTAATGGCTACACCAGTCCTACACAACTCCTGCTCCAACTTAAAAGCAGAAGGTAACACTGGGCTGACCACGCCTTCAATGAACCCTGCACTGTGAGATCGATGTTCACTGTTGCTCCTTTTCTTCAGGATGCCTTTGGGTCTTTTGGAAGTGGGTTTGGATGCATTTTCAGCTCCTCCTTCCTGGATGGACTGTGCAATGTCATTTTCCTTTTTTGATTTTTTCAGAGACCTCTGTCTTTCTAGTGTGACTTCGGGACCTTTGGGCTTAGAAAGGCACTTCATTTTTGTATCAGTCTCTGGTTGGAGGCCAGTAGAGCGGTGATGCCAATCAATGAACCTTGCTAGCAATGGGGACTCAGAGTCCCTCATGGCATCACAGTCACAAACACTACTCTTGTAGCCCCAGTTAACCCACCAGTGGTTGGCAATGTCTTCAATGGTTGCTCGGCGTTCAGGATTCACCATCAACATCCATCTGATGAGACCACGAGCATCTACAGACAAAGAATAGAACATAAAGTTTAAAATACTGGCATTTCTAATTTCCTTTTTCAGTTTCAAAGTGAAATGTGCAGCTAATCAAATAAGCAAAAATAATGGTTCTTACAACAGAAGCGAAAGGGGGCAAGGCTTAGTGCATCAGTCAATGTTAGAAATTGAATTTGAGGATTACTTCCGATCAGCAGAAAATGATTTACCCTGGCAATTGTACACTGGGTTATAAAAGAAATTAATATTTGTATTGTATGAATGTCAGTGTCCCATATCACTGAATGTCGCACACTACTAAAGAAGTCAGCGACCTGTCAATTCTAATGACTACAAAAATTAAGAGGAAAACAAAGGGGCATTGGGATATTTTAAACAATTATTACTGATCCTGTATTTACTTTTTCCACAAAAGTGTATTCTTCTGTGTACCTTAAAGGAGTATTTTTATAAAGAGAGGATTGTGGCAGCAGGAAATTGAAAGAATGGCAAACAAATGATGAAAGAAAAATATTTAGTTAAATATAACAATATATACACATATTTTTTATGTCTGGAAAGAGCCCTAGACTTAGCTGATGCTTTTTTGCCTGGTGACAGCTTAATCTGTTACCCTTGGAATAAACACATTTAATTCAAATTTTGGCCTTGCTTCTCAGATAAGAGACCTCTTCACTCGGACCATTCATCTTCTCTCAGTATAGTCAGAGGACTGATCTTTACCAGTATGTTGTATTGGTTTACAGCTTGTCTGAACAATTCCACTCGCAATAGCTAACAGACCTTCCACTGTCACAGATTTAGTTAAAAGAGCTTGCTGAAGCTTCCCCAAGGCAATAAAATCTATATGCTATAAAATTTTCATTTCAAAAGGACTTTTGGTAAATGCTGTACCCAAATAGGAATGGACTGCAGATGAAGTTAGTAGAGGAATGAGAGATTTTTTTCTTTGTCATTCTAATATAACACAAAAACAGGCTGGAAGGGCAAATCCTCCATTCTGAACTCCTGTCAGCTCAATACATTGCCCTTGCACCTTTTTTATACCTGAGGTCTGCGTTGGTTCACGATATTCTCCACTGCTGATCTGCCTGATGAGATTTTTGTGATCAAAGCCATCAAAGGGCATGGTTCCATAAACCAGAGTGTAAAGCAATACACCAAGGGCCCAGCTGTCAACCTGAAATACAGAGACAATGTGCATGAAGGTCTGGAAAGCTGACTCCCATAATTCTCCCTGCCATTACCACCACAAGAGTGGCATCGTGTCCAGCTATGCCTACTGATGGACAAACTGGTATCTAACATTTGACAAACACAAACAAAGCAAATGGAAGCAAACTTTCAAGATGGGAGACACTCACTCACACCCACACATGCAATAGCATTGGCATTAAGACTAACTCTTAAGACTATTATCATAAAAGACATCCCCATATCACCACTGAAAAACTGACCCTTCTTACCTCTGGGCCTCTGTAAGGTCGTCCATTAACAATTTCAGGGGAAGCATACAGTGGGCTTCCACAAAAGGTCTGCAAAAATTTGTCTTTGTGATAAAGGTTGGAGAGTCCAAAATCAGCAATCTGCAAAGACAGTTGTACAAGGCTTCTGTAGCATTAACAATATCTTAACATACCAGAAAATTCTTTATCAGGAGGGACTTAACTATACTTGACCCTGCTATAGGGCAGAGATCTTGACATGGATAACTTCTCAAGTTCACCTGCCAACCAATTATTTTGTGATTTCATTATTTCTTTAAAGGCCTTCTAGAGAAGCAGATAAGACTCCAAGATAAATCCTCTGGATGAGGAACAAAGATGCTTTGGTTCCACTTATAGACATGTCATGGCTCCACAACCATCAGTCAGTAATTCTATCCTAGATTAATTGCATATGATTGCAAAGACAATTTCATACTGGAAGGCACTGGGCTATTGTCCACTGATTGCTCTTCATCTTGTATAATCATTAACACCAAAAGCACACTGAAAGTACTCCTGTTCTTATCTTGCAGATGCAAGCCCAAAGTCAGGACCTTTAATCCAACAGGAGGAATGATGTCGGCATATCATGAGAAACCAAGTGTTAGCTGTCGGATACAAGTGATTTTTGAAATCATCTGGAATGTCTCTTGTTGAAAACAGGGGAAAGTGAGGCACCCACTAACTGCTCCAGATTCAGGGACTTCAAGATGAGGAATCTGAGCCATTAAGTAAACGAGATGTCTATCACGAGATAATAAACACAAGTCTGGTTCCTAAGTGGAAACAATGGGCCCAAATCCGGCTTTCTCAACACAAACAAAACACCCCTGGGGACTATTGGGAATTTTGCCCATGTAGAAATTGTAGGATCAGGTCCAAATAATTTGTTTACTTCAATTCTCTGTTCTTGTTCTTACAAAACAAAGGCTGAGGACAGCAACACTAAATACTCCCACAACCTTTGCATTTCCTTTGTTTCTGTAGCAGAAAGCAACACATCTCATTTTTTTTATCTTATTTAAAACCTAAATGTTTCCGTTTCCCAGAGATATTTTTATGACTGCCCACGATTGACATAGGACATATATAAAAGACAAAGCACAGGCATAAAAAAGGTATTATCAGTTTATAGCTTTAAGAGATATAAGCTTTCTTTGGGCTTTCTTTACCTCATTCAGATCCTTTCTACCAGAAAGGAATTAAACCCCAGAAAGAAGCAGTGATTATCTGATATTACAGGAGAAAATTTGAGAAAACGCAAAGTGACCAGAAAAGAAAGGGATTTACCAGCAGCATCATTCACCCCTGGCTTTCTAAAACATGTATAACCATTGCTGCTAATATCTGTTTCAACTGCAATGTCTAGTGAACTCTTGGGAGACATAAAGGCTTTGTCCCTATTAACTACCATGTCTCAGTTGAGACCAAAGTAACAAAGCTGGTGAAGCGTGGACAGAAGTTCCCAATTTTCACTCTTTACCCCCAAATATACAAACACAGATATATATTCTCTTTATCCATAAATACCTATCTATCTATATATGACAGATATATACTTTTATAACAAAAATATAAACTTATTTTATGAAGTATCATTTTTACAACATGTTTTACGTCAAGGAACAAATATGAGGTTTCACACTTCATCCTCTCCTGTTTTGATGCTCTGCTTGTGCAGGTGTTCCGCTAACAATTTGGACTCAGAGTATCTTGTTCAAAGAGCAGCTGATTCCCATTCACTAATGTTAATTCATTGCACCAAGTCCATTCATTGCTTGAATTTGCTCAGTCCCCCAAACAGCATATCATCAACCCATAGCAGAAAATGCAACCCCTAAATAAATGCGGTTTGTAAAATCTTCATTGTATGGCTGGAATGTCATTGAAAACATCTGGTGTACAATTGCAGTCTGCAAACATATTCTCATGGCTCAGATTGCACTTAATTGCCCTAAATTCCACTTTCTTATCAAGTCACCCTGACTGGCAGGAAGTTGGTTTTAAGCCCTATGAAGTGTGCCCTGTCAATCAGGGGAAGAATAGGATCATTTCAGCATTACAGCTTCGTGCTGGCCACTGAGTTTTATTTTAGCTCAGGATGCAGCTAAGACAAGGACAGACACTGCACAGTGTGATTCCTTAAGAAAATACATTCCCTTAACACCATGGAATGTATAAAATGCATGTAAATGTGCATGAACATACATAGAGGGATAGACATACCATTGCTCACACTAACAAAATCTCAAACTTGGGCATTTATGTTTCCATTTTGATCATTCAGGAAAAGAGTATTTATGCTGCAGTCCACTCCCATACTTACCAACTGATGTTTACCAGCTTTTCCCATTAAAACTGTCATGCCTTCCCCTCAGAACAAGATTAATAGAAGCCCAACGTTACTTCATGTTCATGGCACTTGAATGGAAGTCAAAAAACTTCCTAAATTGGGAGAAGCTGGGAAGTGGGCTTTATTCCCTTCACTTCAGGAGGTGGATGTTTCATATTTACCGTTACTATGACCAACCAGATGCAATTTATTGTTTAAGCGTGGACTATAAATTCCCCAAAGTTTGCACTCATGGAAATCATCAGGTTCTCCCCACTTCAGAATCCTTGTCTTTGTACTGCAGACATAGAAATAATTACGTCTCTTAAAGCAAATGAAACATATGTGCAGTGGGTGAGACTCCCAGCAAGGTAAATCCCAATTACATACACTTACTCTGTATATATGAAACCCCCATGGGCTCTCAGTGGTTAGTCAGATTGGTGTTCCCTTACCAGCAAAAGAGAAAGTGTAGTAAGTAGAATTGTGTAGCTATTAGACTTGCATTTTTCTCTCCTATCACTTTGGGGCTGATCATTCAGTTTGCGTCAAGGCCCACCAGACATCTATTTTAGGTGCAATTCCCAGTCCAGGAGCTATCACAGCCCTCTCTCCATCGCGCCAGGCTGCATGACAGAGGCACACTGGGGGTAACTCGTGGCATAGGGCATTGGCACAGCATTTGGATAGCAAGTGGCACTGATTCCCTGGCTGCTGCATTGTGAAACAGTGTCTCTCCAGCTCACTGCATGCAATTTGGGGGTTTTAGGCGCTGGGGAGGAGCTGCAATGCTACACATGGACATGTGGTCCTCATCACATTGAAGTGCAGGAGTAATGGGCTAATGGAGGCAGCTACACCTTCTCCCCATTGCTAATTCTTCCAGTAAAAGTCACCCCCAGGGTGACTCAAAAACTAGCATCTGAGTCCCTTCAGGATGAATTGAGAAAATCACCCTCCAGCTTTGGCTTGTGGACCAAGATTTATCAGCCTTCAGAAACTGGCCTTTCTTAGTTGCTATACTTCCAAGTGATTGCTTCCAGAGACGTTCATTCACTATAAAAAAAATAATAATAATAATAAAAAAAAAACCTCATTATGTCTCCTAACAGCACCACTTCATGACCTTCATTTGTACCACTAAAATTTACAAATGGAGTCCAAGTTAGCGCGGTATCATGTAAAACAGCTCTGGGCCCTTTCAGCCCGGATAATATTTTCTAGTGGATTAATTGTTCTCTTTATTTCCTGTTCTGCAAGAACTGCTTGAGTTGTGATGCATGGATCTATTTTTGCAGTATCTTGCTAATTTTATCCTCTTGTCACTGTGACACATTTGTATACACCACAGCGTATAGATCACTGGCTTCTTCAGAGGCGTGTTTCCTATGGCACACAGCGCCCAGGAACAAAGGGATTCCTCTCATTTTGCCATTCTTAAAACCAAACTGCCAACTTTGTAAGCGCCTTGTAATCCACTGAATGAAATGTAAATACTGGGGAAGTACAGACACGATTATCTCTCCCTCTTCTAAAAAATGCCTTCCACTGAGCATTTGAGGCCATCAGACAATGCTGCATATTTTTCTTTTCCTGCCTGAATAAACCATACAGAAATAATCTCAGAATTAGGACCTGATAGATTTGCTCCTAATAAATAATTTACAGCTCCATATGTGTTTCCTTGCCAACGGTTACTGTTTAGTAAAACAAAGAAAAAGTGGGAAGTTAAATTTTGCACAAGTAACCCAGAAACCACAGTTAATGTATTCAAGGCTTCAGCATCAGGGAAATAGCAGCAATATGTTTAACACTGCGTATTCAAGGCTGATCTTGGTCTCAAAGTAGGAAAGGTGTCAAAAATGAGCCAGAAGAGAGAGAAAGGAAGGAACTGAGGAAGGGCTGGACACAAAACACCCACGAGGCAGCCTAAACACAGCTTAGTTCAGGAAAGAGAAGCCTTCCTGAAAAAGATGAGGCCAAATTTTTGGAGATGCAGCTCCCCATGCAGTGCCCAACTCTACAGCAGCTGAAATACATCTGTGGTTCTGCAGTCCTACAAGGTCTGGAGAGCAATCCTGAGCCCCATCCTCCCAGCAGGAAGGCCGGGGCGGCTGCTGAGCCTTTGGACAAAGTGCAGCTCCCCGGAGACTTGGGAAAGTGATTGGTTTTGCATATGAGGACTACAGCTCCAGGATCCAGGCCACAGCAGCTAGCAAATTCCACAAATTCCTCTTTTCTCTCAAGAATTCCCTGATTAGCTGGGAAGATAGCTTGGCGTGTATTGTGGAAAGAAAGGTCATCCTGCCTGCGGAAGCCTGTTTCGTATACAATGTCCTAGAAAGGCAACTTTTTGGTTTCAAAAAAGCCAGGTCTACAGCAAGGAGTAATGCTGCATGAGAAGTTTGCTCTGCCACAGGATGTTAACAGCACACTGCCCAAGCGCTGCCTCTGGACCCTCTGAAAAGCCTACTTTTAGGAGCTGCATATTGACATGTCTTTAATCCACTGGTTGATTCAAGTTAGTTTCTGTCATCAGTGCTACACAGATGGCAGCTACCATATGCTACTTTCCATTTCCATTGCACATCAGCTTACAGTAAAGACAATCTCTCTAGTGCAACACAGTGCGTGCAGCCTTGTGATGTTCAGCAGAAATAAAATGAAAACCCAAGCAACTCGGATAGCTGGCTACACAGAAAGCAACTTGATTGCCTTGTCTTGCTAATTAAGGAAGGATGCCCAAGAGTCAGCAGAACCTCTTTGGCATCTCTGCCACTGTCTGTTTGCAGATCGGCACACCCAGCCGCTCTCACACCCAGCTCGCCAGGCAGCAACAAAGCTGAAAGTGAAACAGATTCAGCCACCTACAATCTTCATTAGTCCCTGCATTATCTACCTTTGTGTTGCAGCTTCTCGGGAAAGAAAGAAGGGAAAAAAAAGGTCATTCCCATGCTTCCACTGGGGAGAAATGACATGGAAATGACATCACTATCCAAAGTATATGTTTGTGTCTGGAGTTCCAAGGCCATTTCCTAATGAAGCACATGTGCTTTACTCGGTTTATTTTGAAACTCTATTTGCTTATTTTCCAGCCATGATCAAAAGGACATTCAGAGTGTTCTGTTTGAGGCACTTGAACCCTGCAGACCAGGCGAGGTTTTCTCCTAGCCCCAGCAGCAGCCAGCAATAATATTGTTCATAAAATAAACTCATTTGCACAAAATGCTCTGCTGTTTCCTACCAGTAAATAGATACTGCTTTGGGAATTGTGGTCTTGGGGCAGAAGGACGCGGCCTTCTCCCTTGTATCATGCACAGCTTCATTCAGCTTGTATGACTCGTCACCAGTGGTGCTCCCTCCCCAGCCTCCAAACCCTGGAGCCTCTTGCCAGATGCTGTTGCTTAGTAGCTGTTGCCATAACACTGGCTCTTCTAATACCTTGGATAAAAATGTTACAAAACATGCAAATCCATTCAGAGAAACTGAGAGAAAGAAACTTACCTTAATATTAAAATTGTCATCAAGAAGGATGTTTTCCAATTTTAGGTCCCTGTGGACCACGCCATTCTGAAATAAAGAAGGAAAAAGAGAATATAAGAAAACGTGCAAATGAAAGGTGAACTGGCAGGGTGGTCTTTGCATCTGCATTTCAGGGCTGATTTCACTGTCATAACACTCACGGCCCAGTGACTAGTGACAGGCGATGTATTAGTCACTTGGTGTGTGGTTAAGGGAAGAATGACTGGAATCTGTCCTCCCACAAAGCCTGTAAAACAGCGGAGGGGGCAAGGGGGGTCTTTTCAGAACTTAATTCCAGTCCAGATCCTGCCCCCACTGCGTGAAAGCAATATATTCTTCCCAGGCACCAGAAAATATCTGTCAATGACGTTAGTCCCTACAAAAGCCCTCATTCCTCCAATACGCAGCCGTGTGGATGTAGGGAGCTAAAATCCTAAAAGACCCTAAAATGTTCAGGATGGAAATGAAAAAGTTGGGTTTGGGTCAGAGCCTTCTTTAAAGAAATTTGGGGAAAACTAACAGTGCCAGGAAGGCTGCTGCAGCTTTTCAGCACTGTGCAGTGATGACTTTGAAAACTTGCCTTGTTTATCAGAATTCAGATGGAGATCAAAACGTGCAAGAATTCAAACAAAATACTGTGTTTGGTGCTTGTTGCCTTTAGCTTGATGCAAGTTTTGGCTCTGTGCAGCTGGTTCAAGTAGAGATAAAAGATCTATGATGACAGCCAGTCCATCAACCGGGGTTTGACTGTTTGAATTGTCATTCTAGTGGGGACCATGATGGATAAAGTCATTAGCAAAGAGTATCTTTCTAGTGCTCATACAACATCTGGAGAAGTTATTTTTGACTATCCAGAGTAAGTACATGCTAAGGCTGAACATTCATACTTTTCTCCAGCTCTTTTTTTGGTTTTATATTTTCTATCTTCTATTTCAAAGTTGTTCACTTGCATGTTGAACTTGCAAGCTATCATTTGTTTGAATATATTAATACAAACAATCTAAAATTTCCAGTTAATGTTGTTAATTACTTTCTTTATGTCAGAAGAATTATTTCCAAGGGGAAAACGGGAGGTATGGCTAACAGTAAGGGAGTGACAAGTAGTATGCTGCAGCACAGGAAAACATCCTCAGACTATAAAAACAGGCAGTGAACTACTGTAGAACTTTCACACAAGATCTCCCGGTGTACTGATATAATCACATGCTGTCACACTTAATAATGAATGCTGTTGCCTCAGATGTGCTTTGAAATACAATCACTATGCCTTCAAATAGCATTTATTAATATCAAATTCCTTGCTTACCTTGTGGCAGTAATGTACAGCAGAGACTATTTGTCGGAAGAAGTGTCTTGTTTCTCTTTCGCTCAGTCGTCGCCTCTCACTGATATAATCATACAACTCTCCCTTACTTGCGTACTCCATGATGATCACAATCTTATCTTTATTTTCAAACACTGCACAAGACAAAAGAAAAAAAGAAACCCACCGCTTACCGAAAACATTTTTAAAATGACACTTTAAAGGGAGAAGAAGGCTTAGGATGACTGAACACAACCTGGTATCATCACTATAGCCTGGAAAGTGACACTTCCAAAAGCAAGTTCCAAAGCTACATTTTCCAGAGAAAGGCAACAACATTTCAGACCAAGAGAAGGAAGGCTTTGAGGAGCTGCTGACTTTCACACGGCTTAATGAAAGAAGGCCTTTGTCTCTGTAACATGGGGTCACAGGGTAACAGTGTCAACTTGATCCTCATGAGGTGAGGTAGGAACTTGCGCCTGTGCCATCTGAATTCTAATCCTGGCTCCTCTTACCAGCAGTCCTCATGGGGCCAGATGACAGAAGGAATCAGGAGCTATCATCATCCAGAAAGGTTAAAAAATGGACAATTGACTGTGCCTTCAATTAATGCTTGATACAGAATAGCAGCCTGGCTTATAATGACTGTTGGCTTTTACCTACCATCAAAATCCAACAAATAAACTGATGCATGCATCCTCTTCCAGCCCAACTCTGCAGCAACATGGTGGGCACAAACACCTGAGCGAGCAGTGGCTGCAGTGTCTCCAGAGCTCTACCACTCCTGTCACAGTCCCTCTGCAGCCTATCTCATGCACCCAGCCCATCGCTGAGCTCAGTTATCTCCAGCCTCTGCCGCACGACCCCTAGCCTGCTGGAGATATGCCCTTTGTCACTTCTGCAGAGCTAGCAGGGACACGCAAGTCCCACGTAAGTAGGAAGAGGAACATTCATCTGACCTATGTCACACTGATGCTGTTCCTTCAGAGCTCAGGATACTTTGTGCCACGTGCTGTCAAGGACTTCATTGGGAACTGCAGATAACTAAACACTTAATCTAGTAAAGCAGGCAATGAGAAGTCTCGAATTGCCATAGTGTCCTGGCTGCCAACAAGTTTTTCCCCTCTGACACCAAAAATCTTCCACAACCCAATGGAAACATCCTGCACCTGCCTCACATTAGAACATAGTGACTTTCTGTTTTATCCTCTCGTGGCAGCCTGCTGTCACACTAGCAGCAAAACATCTTCAGATGAAAGAGGTTATAGGGGTCATTGCAAGCGGATGCTAGTTTTGACCAGCCCTGCTGGAACGACGCCTTCTTCTATCAGAGCAAAGCCCTGCCAGTAATCTTTAGTGTTTAAAAGAAGAAAAAACACACACAGAAACTTCAGCTTTTACAGCAAAATGCAAAGCTGCCTCTCTCAATGCATGTGTATTTGCTGCTCTTAGGCTTTGCCTCATGTCCTCTCACACCTTGTCACTCAACTGCACAAGCCAAAACCTCTGCAGCTCCCTCTAACACCCCTGAACCCCAGCCAAACAGCTCTGATAAAAGGCAGAGGGAGCAGCCAGATAAAATTGGCCGCTGACTTGTCTGCTGGCCTCACTGCACCCCGAAGCAGAGGTTCCTGCCAGTGATTACATCCTATGTGCATCCTCATTAACAATAAACTTCGGAAACTGGAAGAGCCGTCTCTAGATGGATTGTGTTTATGGCATCCTCTCCAAGAATGACAGACTGATATGTTTGGGAAAAACTGAACAAATGCCGTGTCATATATGGAAGTGCTGTGGTGTGTTACCATTAATGCGCAAACTTGCCTCTCTAAGCTTGGAAAGGGTTGCTATACAGAGTTACGCAGGAAGGTGAAATGTAGTTTTGATAAGTCAAGACAAACCAATAAAAATGCTTTTATTCAAGCAGTTTGCTTTTTAAAAAATAACAATCAAATAGCAGATTCATTGTGCTCGGGATTATACGATGCACACACAGGTGAAGCTGCCACAGGGCACCATGAATCTCACTCAGTGACTCTCATCAGCATAACAGCAATGACAGTCCTACTACGAAGTGACACTCTATCAACTTAAGTTTTGCTTAAAATTTTGCCTTCATCACTCAGCTCTAAGGGCTGAACCCTCCTTGCTTGTCCAAAGTATGAAATTCTAAAATCTAATTCTTCTGAACCAAAATTTGCGATATTAATAAAAGCCCTTATCCAGGCATATTTTCTTACATTTATACAGAAATGATGCAGAGAGCGCTGAGTCAGGAGTGCATTCAAAGATACTTTCCACTACCGTTGGACTTAGAATCACAGACTGGTTTGCGTTGGAAGGGGCCTTTAAGATCATGTAGCTCCAACTCCCCTGCTATAGGCAGGGACACCTCCCTCTAGACCAGGTTGCTCAGAGCCCCATCCAGCCTGGCCTTGAATGCTTCCAGCAAGAGGGCATTCGCAACCTCACTGGGCAACCTGTTCCACTTCTCACCACCCTAAGTTTGCAGAGGCTTGTTCAGTATGATTGTAGCTGAGCGACTACAGAATTGCGCAGCAATTTATTTCTTCACCATGCAGTAGAGGCAAATGGAGAATCTTTTGTTTCAGGGAGGTGGGAGGAATTTTTTTTACAGTTCTCAGCCCATCAGCCATGCACACCACGAATTTTCACAGCAGCAGTTAGGATGCCAGGCAGACTTCATACAGACACTTCTAAATTTCCCTTCTGAGCATAGTCTGCAGTTCTATAAACATATGCTCCAAGAAAGCATTGTGGCCAACGGCTGGGGGGAAAGAGGAGGGCATTAATTAAAGGCTGGATTGACTTACTGCAAATAATAATGAGGTAATAAATATACTGCCCTGTTAACACCTGGGTTGTAACCTGCAGGCTGATGACGGACGGATTGCCTCCATATAGCTTCTGGGACGGCTCGGTTCACTCTTTGTTTTTGCTCAGTATGATTTATTATCTGCCATCCTATTGCATATTCATTCCAAAACTCACCCCCTCTTCTCAGTGTGCCTGCAGTCTGGCTGCAGCTCCTGCCAACGTAGAAGCAGGGCTCTGGTGGGATCCCACACTCTATGAGCATCCCATTGCTCCCACTGAGGCATAGCCATGTCACATTCAGCCAATACCCCTCAACCCTAACCAAGGTCAAGGGAGGGAGAGAGGTTGTGTATGGGCGAGGTGGGGCTGCTCCTTCTTCTTTCAAAGCACTGGTACTATACAAACAGAGCTGCACAAATAAGATAAGTGGAAAGTCAATGGTATCAGCACTCAGACAGGTGGTAGCAGGAGGGATGGCCTGTCAATCACATATCAAGAAACCATTTCTCAGATACAAGACATGAGCTCCACAGATTTAAGGAGAAAGCAGCAGGAGGAACGCTTGCTACAATCTGTATGTCAGATATTTTTGAGCAGCTATGTTTATTTCTACTGCTCTGCAAGCTGAACGATGCCAAGAGAGCTGCAGCAAGGCCTCAGTGCTGTGGGAGGCCTGCTGCATCACCTCAGCCATTGCGGTCAGGCAGTGCAGGGCAGTGGTTGCAATATCTTTGTAGATAGAGCCTAAAGGACTAAAGGTTGACTTCTGAGACTCCTGCACTTCCATCTCGCAGTGGGGTAGAAGGGAGAACAGTACCATGAGAGCACAGCAGGAATCGGGATCAGGGAGTGGTAATGAGATGTGCCACACGGTACATGGAACAGCATGACTGCACCCCTAGGAGACGAGCAAGACAGCTGTGTTAATGTATGAAGGCATGGCGTATGGCAACATGGAGAAATAGCATCTTCCAGTGAGCTACAAGATGCTTGCTCTGCACATCACTGAGAGCCTTAGTGGAGGCTAAGAGGAGTGCTCTGCACAAGCAGCGAAGAGTGCTTAAGTTCCAGTGGTCAAGGATAGATTTCTTATAGCTTTTCTCTAAACTCTTAACTCTAATATGTTTATTTGTTTATTTATTTTTTTTTAATGAGAAGAAAAAAAGAAGAAGAAAAAAAGAAGAAAATGCTATACTTCTCAGCTGATAATTGAAACCAAATCTGTTGGCTTCAAAACTCATTGAAGAATAAAAATGTGAAACTGGGAAAGAATTTCACTTCTCACTACCAAAGACATATCTGAAACAAAGTACATTTTGTAACGTCAACAATCTGTCTCTTTCACAGGCTGTTCTACTACAGCAGTAATTCTTGGATATAGTCTTTCTGCATATTTATATTTAGAGGCCATGAAATGATGAACTCAGCTTCTATCTACAGCTTTCTATCTTCTAAATAGCACTGGTAGGGTAGGGACCTCTTCCTGATAAGCACTCTTCTTTTATTTTCAATCTACTGCTAAGTTCTGCCTTTAGCTCCACAGCCATCAACTCTGCTGAAACTGCTTGGGACAAGTCTGTCATTGGATGAACATACTGTCCAACTTAGGTGTCGCCAAAGACGGACTTTGCCCCAAAGGTGCTGAAAGTCCACACAGACCCAGTTTTGCAAATGTCAGTCAGAAAGATTTCAGAGTACAAGTACACCGGACATCTCTCTGCTTCAGACTTATTTGAAACTAAATATAAAAAGCAAAACGAAGCAGAATGCTTTTGCCCTTTCTTAAGCTTCCAGGATGCTGAAGGCTGTTTGAGTGCTGAGGGGGGAGGATTTCTTCCCCCTTAATGGACTACCTCCTTGTGGGCTGATTCCATTTGGTTTACATGTAACCCTGGGGTAAGGATTTCAGTTTGTTAGTTTAAGAGGGGCAGCCAATCTCTTTGCACTGGAACCATTTGAATTCTCCTCATGCCTTTGCTCTCTATCAGAGCAATCTCCTAAATTAGTTCCAGTATGTTGACATTCCTTCCATCTGGTGTCTTTCCATTCAGCGGTATTTTTATTACTCTCCTAACAGCCGCAGACAGAAGTACCTTTCCACTGCTACAAAATGCTCTTTTATTAAAGGTCAGCCAAATCAAAAGAACAAGCGAGTTTGTTTTTAATTTTAGAGATGCAGACGAGAATAACCTTTTCATTGAGAAAAGTCATGTATGACCCAATTACCTCACTCGTGTAATAAGGCACGAACTTTTCTTCAAAAGATAAGCGAATACTGAAGCATTTTTTACCTTAGAAATTCTGCCCTGTGTCTTTT